AAGGGAAGGGAAGGGAAGGGAAGGGAAGGGAAGGGAAGGTGCGGGAAGGGAAGGGACGGGAAGGGAAGGGAAGGGAAGGGAAGGGAAGGGAAGGGAAGGGAAGGGAAGGGAAGGGAAGGGAAGGGAAGGGAAGGGAAGGGAAGGGAAGGGAAGGGAAGGGAAGGGAAGGGAAGGGAAGGGAAGGGAAGGGAAGGGAAGGGAAGGGAAGGGAAGGGAAGGAAGGGAAGGAAGGGAAGGGAAGGAAGGGAAGGGAAGGGAAGGGAAGGGAAGGGAAGGGAAGGGAAGGGAAGGGAAGGGAAGGGAAGGGAAGGGAAGGGAAGGGAAGGGAAGGGAAGGGAAAGGGAAGGAATTCAAGCAATGAGAGAGACATTGCCGACCTGGATCTAGAGGTTTACAAGTGATTTCTTTTTTTTGAGAGAAGAAAAAAAAATGAGTAAAGAGAGAAAGAAAGAGGACGAGAGAGAGGGGAGGGTTGAACGCAAATATGCTTTATTTCTGAAAAAAAAAAATGGGTATTAATAATGGCCAATCAATGTTTCATTTAACCTATGAGTAGGTGTGATGTGGTATTGACAAGAATGTATATTTTGTGTATTTGAAGTGGAGAGCTCTATAAATATTTATTAAGTTTACTTGTTCTGGATCTGAGTTCGAGTCCTTGATATCCTTATTAATTTTCTGTCTCACTGAATCTAAGTCTCCTATCTGGGTGTTAGGATCGTTAGCTCTTGTTGTTGCATTGATCCTTTTACCACTATATCTTTGTTGCTTTAAAATCTATTTTATCCGATACGAGAATTGCAACTCCTGCTTTTTATTTATTTATTTATTTATTTATTTATTTATTTTGCTCTCCATTTGGTTGGTAAATCTTTCTCCATTCCTTTGTTTTGAGTCTTTGTGTATCCTTGCATGTGAAACAGGTCTGGATGTAACATGCCGTTGGGTTTTGGCTGTGTCTTTTGATTGGGGGATTTAGTCGATTTAAATTTAGGGTTACTGCCATTGATGTTAACTGGCTGTTTGATCCATTCGTTGATGAAATTCTTCTTTATGTTGGTGCTCTTTACTTTTTGGTATATTTTTAGTAAGGCTAATACTGGTTGTTTCTTTCTGTGTGTAATGCCTCTTTCAGAAGCTCTTGTAAAGCAGGCCTGGTGGTAATAAAATCTCTGAGTACTTGCTTGTTTTATAAAAGATTTTATTTTTCCTACAGTTGTGAAGCTTAGTTAGGCTGGATATGAAATTCTGGGCTGAAGGTTCTGTTCTTTGAGGATGTTGAATATTGGCCCCCACTCTCTTCTGGCTTATAGAGTTTCTGCTGAGAGATCTGCTGTAAGTCTGATAGGTTTGCCTTTGTGGGTAACCTGACATCTCTCTCTGGCTGCCCTTAGTATTTTCTCCTTCGTTTCAACCCTGGTCAATCTAACGGTTATGTGCCTTGGGGTTGCTCTTCTTGAGGAATATCTTTGTGGTGTTCTCTGTATTACCTGGGGTTGAATATTGACCTGCTTTGCTAGTTCAGGAAAATTTTCCTGAATAATATCCTGAAGGGTATTTTCCAGCTTGGATTCATTCTCTCCGTCGCATTCAGGTACACCCATCAAACGTAAATTTGGTCTTTTCACATAGTCCCACATTTCTTGGAGACTTTGCTCATTCCTTTTTATCCTTTTTTCTTTAATCTTGTCTTCTCGTTTTATTTCATTAAGTTGGACTTCGACCTCTGATATCCTTTCTTCTGCTTGAACAATTCGAGTGTTTAAACCTGTGCATACTTCTCGGGAGTTCCTGTATTGTATTCTTCAGTTCCATTAATTCACTTATATTCCTCTCTAAGTTGTCCATTCTCAATAGGATTTCATCAAAGCTTTTTTCAAAGTTCCTAGTTTCTTTACGTTGGGCTACAACATGTTCTTTTAACTCACAGAAGTTTCTTATTATCCATTCCCTGAAGCGTGATTCTGTCATTGGGATGCGCTCGTTCTCCCTCATCCTTGTTCCATTGTTGATGTGGAACTGTGATCATCTTTAGAGGGAGAGGCGTTCTGATTTTGAGTATTCTCAGCCTTTTTGCGCTGGTTTCTTCCCATCATTGTAAATTATCCTCTTGTCGTCTTTGAAATCACCAACTTTCAGATTAGGTCTCTTGAGTGGCCGTCCAAGTTGTTAGTTCCCAGGGCCAGAACGGCGGCGTTAAGACTGATGGTGCTTTTCTGCCCAGGATTCTCCTGTCTGGCTTCCTTCTTGTGTCCGTAATGGGCGACCCTGCCTTCCCGGGGCTCCAAACCTCGGTCAGAAGGGGAACCGGTCTCCTTTAGTCTGCGCCGAGAGCTGCCGCCCTGAGGTGACATCACAGCCGCTGCGCCTGTCTCAGGAGTCGTGCTGGGGACCCGTGTGGGTCCTCCAAGCCTGCGTCAGAAAGGGAGCCGGCCCTGTTTACTCTGCTCCGAGAGCTGCCGCGCCGAGGTGCGGGCGAAACCACTGCGCCGGCCACGAGAGTCGCGCTGGCGACCCGTGTGTTTCCTCCACTGGGGATCTTCTGCTCCGTGAGCGACCAGAATTTGTCTGAAAGTGTGGCGCCCTCTAGTTCTCTGCACTTTGACTGAGAGTTGCAATCCCGAGCTGTTATCGATCGGTCATCTTGGATCGTTCCTCACCTTTTGATATTTCAAAACCCCATATAGATGTATTATTTTCATGAATAAAAAAAAAAAAAAAGAAAAGCACAAGACAGGGGAGGGAAGAGTGAATGGGAAGTGAGGAGTAGAGTCAGAATCACTGGATAATTCTCTGAGAATAGTCTGGAAGGAGCGTCAATGTGGATTTACCTACCGAATAAGGTAAACTTTGTAATCTGTATCATGTCCTCATTTGCTTTAGTACTATGGAGGCCAGGTTTTAATTTAGAGCTCACATCTAAAAACGGAATCTCTATAGGCTGTAATGCTTTTTCATTTCTGACTATTCAACTATCATTCTCCCTTTGTGCTGGTATTTCACGTGTCTCCTATCTTACTACATTTTATATGCCTTCAAAAATCTGGTAGGCTTAACAAATAAAACTCCAAAGAATTACTGAATACACATTAACACTAAAGATGTTTGTGGTATTTTATCCTTTCTTAATGATTCAGAGGAGATTCCGTGGTCTTGCAATGTTTCACTGATTATCATTCTAAAAGCCAGTTATCTAGCTAACGATACAGATATCCATACACATTTTTAAATGTGTAAGTCTGAATCAGTTCTCCACTACATGAATACGTTTATGTGGCTCTGTGCATGCGCTCTGCTCCTCCCAGTGACTTGGAAGAAGCCAGTGTGGGGAAATGGCTCAGGGTCAGGCACTTCCATGTTTAAGATCTGGTTCTGACCTCTCGGCAGGCTAGAGACTCAGTTTTATTTCGTCATCTACAACACAGGGATGACGATAATAGTCTCTGCTTCATGGTGTCGTCAGGGTTCGACACGGCAATGGGTGTCAACACGCAAGAGGGACTGAATCAAAGTTTGCTGGAGGAAGAAGTGCATGAACAAATGGCCACCTGTCAAGGAGGACCCCGATGTGGAAGGTGCTGTGAGCACCTGTGGGCCTACAACGTGCTCGTGGACAACAGTCTTTTTATTTTTTGGTCTTAAGGTCAATTCAGGGAATTCAAACTGTGAGTGAATTTCTTTTTTCATAATAAACCATCCTTTTCATTGGGAAATGCAACATCTGCAGTTGTACCTGAACATTCCCGTACTGCTTTCCTGTGACTAGAAGCTTTCTTCTTTTTTCTTTCCCTTTTTGAGGGCTAAAAAAATGTCAACACTCCGTAATGAACACAGCGTACAAGGACTCACCACAACACCAGGCACTGAACCACCTCGCTTTAACCCTGAAGAGGAGTCTTCCGAGGCTATTTGCCTTTTCCTGACCGAACTTACAAGCTCCTATGCTCTTTAAAATAAGATTGTTTTCTATTGCTAATCAGACAAATGACAGTATCACAGCACAAACAATAAGCACTGCTCAGTCTACTTACTTTGAAACACATGATTTTCATCAGCTCCTTTTTTCTTTCTTGGCAGAGAGTCTGATTTTTAAAATGACCCCCTCCTTAGTCAGTGCTAGGCTGGGCTCCTCACTGCCTCCCGCAGGCCACACTCCTAAAGTCCTTGTAGTAGCCTTATTCCCCCCTGCCCCGCCCACCCTCAGGTAATGCGCACAGGACCATGCAGTGACCAGGACGAGGGACACAGCTGAGTTTGGCTCTCACCAGGGAAGTTTGTGAAATTAAACACGAACATTTGACATTTTATGTCAAATCTAAACAAGCCGTATCTGGTCCCTGGTTACTCACCACTGTACTAGGTTAGCTTTTTTTGTATAGCACAATTACTTGAAGTGGCAGGAAAAAAGCAGGGTCCCTGCAGAAAACCCTTCAGCAAGGGTGGCCACCTCAAGCTAGGGCAGAGCCAAAGCTCCCAGCTTCTGCAGCAGAGGGCTGCAGGACGACCCCTCTGAAGACGAGAACTCAGCACCACTGAAGTACTCCTTCCTCTTGCTAGGGAGCCAGAGTGCTCCTCATGTTTCTAGGTTGCCACACCCTTGTTAAAGCAGTTCTTCCAAAGGACTGAATACTCAGAATCTCTATAGCAAAACAATACACAATTGTTCACGTTTGCTCTGAAGACCACACACATGGGAAAGGTGACACTGGTGATGTGCCACACAGGCCTTGCACGGGCTGCCTCTGCCCCGGTTTTTAAGTGCTTTTCAGCCACATGCCCATTTGCAATGTCTTACTCACCTTGAAGAAATTAGCTTACCATAGTACAAAGGTTATAGAAGTGATATTCTAGCACCGTAACTCTGAGAAAATGATCTGGTTCTCAGGACATGTAAACAAGCAAGGCAGGCAGCTACATACTGAAAGAACACAAGGAAAGGGACTTGTTTCACTAAGGCCCTGGCTGTAGACGAGTGCAAGGTCATTCGCATGCAAGGATACAGGGGTTACTGTCACTGACGCTGCAGTTGTCCAGGATCAACGGGATACCATCCAGCTCATTGACCTAGAGAGAAAGAAGACAAGTTATACACTGAAAACAGCACGGCTATAGTCAGAGATTATAGATGACTTGTTGCTCCTGTTGTGTTTTCTCACTCAATGTTATAATATTGTTTGCACAATTATCTGAAATACCTATAGTAACCCAGAACTATATGAAACAGACATGTAAACAAAAAGCGATACTTCATTTTCTTTTCACCGGAATTAAAAAAAAAAAATGTTGAGGCAATCGGGTAGCCGTATAAAAAAGAATGCAAGTAGATCACTTCCTAACATTGTTCACCAGGATAAACTCCAGATGGATCTGAGATCTAAACTTAAAAGAATGAAAAAAATCAGTACCAGAAAAAAACAAGGTTGTATTCCTTTTCTAAGCTGGTAACAGAAAAAGCTTTCCTAACTATGATTCAATCTGGAAACAACAGGGAAAAGGTTTTAAAATTTGACTTTTTTTTTTTTGAGACAGAGTCTCACTCTTATTGCCCAGGCTGGAGTGCAATGGCACAATCTCAGCTCATTGCAACCTCTGACTCCCAGGTTCAAGTGATTCCCCTGCCTCAGCCTCCTGAGTAGCTGGGATTACAGGTGCCCGCTACCATGCCTGGCTGATTTTTTGTATTTTTAGTAGAGACGGGGTTTCACTATGTTGGTCAGGCTAGTCTTGAACTCCTGACCTCAGGTGATCCACCTGCCTCTGCTTCCCAAAGTGCTGGGATTACAAGCGTGAGCCACTGTGCCTGGCTTTTTTTTTTTTTAAGGCAAATGAAAACTGGGAAAACTATTTGTAAGGTATCACAGATTTGGAAGATATTTGCAAAGGACTCATACTTTAATACACAAAGAACTTGTAAAAATTTAAACGACATCAACAATACAATAGAAAAACAGATAAGACACATGAAATAGAAATGGCAGCAAAAAGAATACAAATAAACTACAAAGACATCAGAAAACATTCATACCTGCTCGTAAGAGGGAGACAAATTATAATCACACACATTTCTTACCTGCCAGACTAACAAATAACCAAGTCTGACAAGAAACGCTATTGGTGAGGCCACAGGGAACAGGCACTCTCCTACGCTGCTAGAGGGAATGATCAACGTAACGACTCCCGTGAAAGGAGACTGGGTGTAACCAGCAAAATGACATGTGACCCAGTAACCACACTGCTAAAATTACACATCAAAAACACACTACCACATAAAATAGTGTGTGACAGACACAAGGTTATTCATTACAGCACAGTGTGTCATTTTATTTTTTGTAAAGATGAGTTCTCACTATGTTGCCCAGGCTGGTCTCAAACTCCCAGCCTCAAGTGATCCTCCTGCCTTGGTCTCCCAAAGCACTGGTATTATAGGCATGAGTCACCTCACCTGGCCCAGTTCATTTTTTAATAAGAGTTTTACTAAGACATAATCACAAACCATAAAATTCACACCTTAAAAGTGTGCAATTTGGTGGTTTCCAGTCTATTCACAGTTATATAATCATTAGCAAAACCAAATTTTCAAACATTTTCTCACCCCTAAAAGAAACTCCATACCCACTGGCAGTCACTCCTTATTTCTCCCTACTCCCAGTCCTTGGCAACTATCCATCTACTTCCTGCCGCTCTGGATTTGCCTATTCTGGCCATTTCCTATACACAGAGTCCTAGAATCTGAACGCTATGTAGCCTTTTGAACCTGACTTTCACTCAAGGTTCCTCCCTGTTGCAGCATGTCAGTGCTTCATTCCTTTCCATGGCTGAGTAATGTGAACAGTGCATTGTAGGGATATGCCACATTGTATTTTTCTGTTCACCCGCTAATGGACATTTGTGTTGTTTCCACCTTTAGGTTATCATTGCAATGCTGCTATGAATGTGCATGTACATGTTTTCGAGTGGATGTAAGTATTCATTGTTCTTGAGTATATACCTAGGGGTCAAACTGCTAGATCATATGACAACTATAAACATTTGAGGAAGAGCCAGACTGTTTTCACAGTGTTTGCAGAATTTTTCATTTTCACCCAGCCACATATGAGGGTGAAATCTCATAAACACTTGCTATTCTCTCTTTTTTATTAGGCAGCCCAGTGTAAGTGAAGCGGTGTATCACTGTGGTTTTGATGCACATTTCTGATGACTAATGATATTGGGTGCAGCCCAACTTATTGTGAAACAACTCAAGTCTCCACCGACAGGGGCTGCTGAAATGAACTATGGTACAAAGACAGTAGACTGCTACAGGGCTGTGAATATGAGTGGAGAAGGTTGCTGATGGACTGCTGTGGGAGGATCGCCAGGATGTAACCACAATATAACATGTTAACAGACTTATATGAGAATCTTATGTGTAATAAAGGATATTTTAAAATACTCTGAACAAGAAAACAATGAAGGGTTAACCAAAAACAAATAATGGTCACCCACAGGGGAAAGAGAAGAATGGGGCGGAGGAACAGGAACAGAGACTCTATGAATGTGCCCTATATAAATTTTGACTGGAATCTGCTGTTTTTTATGTAGTTTTTAAAAATTAAAGTTATAAAAACTGAAAGCATACAAAGTAATGAAATATAAAACAATGTTATTTTTCAGAATTCAACAGTATTTTGACGTAACCATCCTGTGAGATATACATAACCTAAGATGGTACAGAAGCACACAGAAGCCTGAAACTGCATTCGGTCCTCTGAACATTAACTATTCCAAACTCCACGTCCCACTGAAAGAAGCCAGATCTCCAGTTGATTCTAATGTACAGACTTGCTAGGAATCTATTTATCATCCTTACTTTTACAAAGGCCAGGAAGAAGAGAATAAATTAGTTCGTAATCCTCGAATTTCTATCATCTTTTCCAGGCACTGTAGGTGTGATGGGAAATGAGGTACTATTTAGTAGATATCTGGTATATACTGACATATACTGATATACCTGCCATATGCCTGGCAATCAGATGCTTTAATGACTTGCTTTAATTCTGAAATGCTAGAGTAAGTATTACTGGCTCCCTTTTACAGATAAATAAGTGAGACTCAGAAGTCCCGCTCCCTGTGGTCACTTACCTAATAAGTGCTACTAAAGGCAAGGTCTGGAGACCACTGTCAGTTTGTATGAACAGACACTGAGGGGAGGAGCTGAGAAACTGACAATATGACAGCCATATGATGTTGGCTGAAGCTTAAGATAAAATTTGGGCTTGAATTCTTATGTCTTTTTTTAGATTTATTTTTCAAGTAGTTCATTTTATACTATATTCTACACTAATATAGGTCCGGGATGGTTTGAGGGAGAGAGAACTGGATCTGCACCACAGATAGTTTAAGAAGCACTGGGATGGAGGGTTAGGCCACTATAGAGAGTGGGTCTTGGAGGGGGATCATGTGTTTGAGAAGCACAGAGCAGAGTTTTATGGCCAAGCCAGTCATGATCCCACCTGAGACTGTATGGAAAGCTTCCCACGGAAGCCCTCACACCCCCACTTCTCCTCTGATAACCTGACCCACATCTACCAGCAGGATGGGGTATGCACAGTGAAGTCTGCAAATGGGAAAGGAGAGACGCCAAATGCCTTTGCCATGTGCTGACTGATACTGAGGTGAAGATATGCAGAGATCCAGAAAAGAAGAGCCCTGTAAGTGGGACTGAGAGGAAAGAATCCAGCTGATCCTCACCAACTCTCCGCAAATGTGTGATCCAAACCCTTCTGCAACATGGGTGCACCTCCACGCCAGACTGAGGTTGGTTTTCACGCTCAGGGTTTGTTCTACTAGAAGAACATATAGCATGGGGCTCACAGAGAAGGCCTCCCTAAAGAAGTGACATTTAGCTTAGAAGTGTCACTTAGGTGACACTTAGTGTGACTTTAGCTTAGAAGGCCTCCCTAAAGAAGTGACATTTAGCTTAAGTTGAGAAGAATGAACAGGAATTAAATAAGACAAAGGGGACTGTGGGAGTGTTCTGGGCAGGGGGAGGAGCACGTGCAAAAGCTGGAAGATAAGATGAAAGATGAAGTTCATGGAACCGGGAGGCAGGGCGGCATAGGGATTAAGAGTAAGCACTGTGGAGCCAGGATGCTCGGGTCAAAGCCTGGCTTTGAGCCCTGCTGGTCTTCGCCAAGTCATGGAACCCTAAGGCTTGGTTCCCTCCTCTGTAAAATGAGGATGATAGCGCCTACTTCAAATAGTGACTGTAAATGTGTTTAGCACTTAGTAAGTGCTCGGTAAAGAGCACTGGGAGTGATGGCAGTAGCTGGTGACATTCACAGCATTGAATGCAAATAGTTCATTTAGGAGTCGGGCAGCAGCTCCTAAACGCATGGCGAAATTGAGTAAAAACTTCAACAGAGCTGAATTTATACTTCCTCTCTGCATTAGGCAAAATTTCTAATTTATTTTCAAAACCAGTTTTTTTTGATAAGTGAGAAATAAAAGTATTCAGAACTTATTATTCAATGCATAGATAACATCTCACTTTCTACAAAAAAAAAAGTAGAACTCTATATGCTAAATGGGTAAGATGTTCTTTGAAGAAAAGTAAATCACACTAAAAACTGATATTTAAGCAGGTAATAAGGGTGAACTAAAGAGCTCTTTAAAACCATGCTTACACTGGAGCTGTGGGTGAATTCAGGGTATGCCTTCCTGGAGAAATATTTCTTATTCCTTCAGCTGCATTAGGAAAGGATACAAGGGAACTTCCCATTTACAGAAATTCATTAAATGTTTACAACATAAATGACCTGTTCTAGACAAGGATGACAGTGGCATTATGACAAATACACAATTATATACTTAAGAATGAACAGAGGTTAAGGTCACTGGGAACAGTAGACACCAATACAACACCTTCAGGAAGGATGACTGAGAATACAATTCTGTTACGACAAAGCCCAAGTTTACTGCTGTAACTACGAGTGTCAAGGTCATGTTGGGGGCAGGAGAGAAACAATTAAGTTTTCTTCTGTCAGCACTTCATTAAACAAGAAAGTTGTTTGTTTCTTTACTAA